GCGGGCCACGCCGCGCCGTGGGGGAGGGCGGCGTGGGGCGGGCCTGAGCCCTGGGGCCCCGCCCCGCCGCGGCCTGACGCGCCCCGCCCCCTGGGCGGCCCCGCTGGGTCCCAGACTGGCTATTCCTGTCTCTGCTGCAAGGGAACATGAAATCCCGCTCTTAGCAGACCCTGGTTGACGTTACCCCTTGTTTTCAAGTAGGCCTTCCAAGTAGATATTTCGGGTCTGTTTTAGAGGTGAGGTGGTCTGAGGCTACAGTAGAATGACTTGCCCGAGATCACACGGTGAATAAGGAACGAAGTGAGGCTTTGAATCTTGTCCGCAAAACTCCCAAACCTGCGCCTGTCCTCCGCACCACATCGAATGCTCTTCACGTTCCTTCCCTCCTCCCAGTAACTTCTTGGAATTTGGCAGATGTTAATGTGGAATTAGCATCCATCCTTTCATGGATGTTAGCGTCAGAAATGTCTCTTGTGTGAAGAAAGAGGAAAAAAGAAGATTCCGCTTATTGCAATATTGCGCTTACAACGTGGAGTGTTTGAGACTGTATACATCCTTTACTTGACCATCTGTACTAACCTCTGTTGAAGTGACGCTGCTGTTCACTAACTGTAAGACATTGTGCAAGTGACAGTCTTTCAGAGGTTCCTTTCCCTTCTTAAAAAAGCAGCATGACTCAGAAGGTTGTAAGGATTCAGAGACAATCCACATACAGTGATACTGCAGTACCTGGCATATGAAAAATATTCAGTAAATGTTGGCCATTATTTCATTATTGAGTGCATAATCCCCCTTACTAAGCGCACTTTTCTTCAAACTCATTTTCCTGGGACCAGAGCAGAGGGGTAACCACTCCAGTTCATCCTGGAAAAGACAAGTTCATTGACAGTTTTATGTGAGTGTCCCATACAGTTAACGATGAATTATTCCCCAAGCTAAAACTATCAGGTGAAAGAAGTCACTGCAGGAGAACTAGAGATGAACTAACCTTTTTGTAGAATTAACATTTATATGTCCATTACATTTGTGTTTATTGAGTTCTTTCCTCTTGGCACTGTGCTTGGTACTTTAAGACATACAAATTTGTATTTGATGTAGTCCCTGCTTTCATTAGTCTAGAAATGGGGAAAATATGCATTCAGAAGTGATTCTCACAAAGTGGAATGTGAAAAATGCCAAAAAAAGAGGTAGATAAAAAGATATGGGAATATAGAGGGAGGGGGGATGTTTTCATGACTTGGTGTGAAATATGAGTTCGTTTATGTCTTCAAAAATATAACTTTGTATATAGTACATACCTATTAAATAGCTGTTCAAAGAATAAATTAGTGAACAAAATGTACGTTGTAATAGATAGGATTCCTTAGTTTTCTAGTAATAGATGTTCATTCAGGTTAAAGTATTACTGGAATGATAGAGAAATGAGAAAAAACAAACAAACCTACACCATTGGGCTACCCTTGGGGATGGGGATCTCAAAAGCCAGATGTCTGGGACCAGATTCTTTGGCTAGTGAATGAGCTCTAATCTGCCCTCTGTCCTTGGATACCTTACTCAAGATTCAGCTTTCGGTAAGAACAGATCTGGTTGCTTTAGCTGCTGTGGGGCTGGGGGGTGGAGTATTGGGATTCGCAACCCCACGAAAGCCATATGAAATGTGGGAGAGTCAGTTTCCCAAAGGAAGGAGGGCTAAGGAGAAAAGTGAGGCCTGGCAGAGAAAATCAGTTGTTGTTTATTAGAGATATGTAGCCTTTGTAGAGGGCTTACTACGGGCCTGGCACTATGGTACATTATCTATGTGGATTTTGATATTTAATCTTCAGCAACTCTAGAAGGTAGATATGATTGTATCATCCATTTTACAGAGGAAGGAACAAGCTTGTAGAGATAAACTAATTTGCTTAGCCTTACAAAGCTAGGATGTGGTACAGTTGAGTAAGTTGCATTATGTTCTCTTTATCTTGTCCCTTTAAAGTATTCCCTCATCCATGTGCCACTTTTGTTTGTTTATAGGGGGGGTCGTCAGCTTTGGTGTCTGTGTTGGCCAGTTCTGAAATCTCCTTGAAGGAGCCCTACATTGAGGAAGATCAAAGCAGCAGCCTTTGCCAACTGGGGAATGGACCGTTTGAGTTCCTTTAGCAGTAAGTACCATGGGAACAAGTCCCAGGTGAATAGCAAACTGAAGTGGAAGTTGATCAAAGAAGAAAAATAAGCACTTTGAAGATGAAGCCATGTGAATCTGATCCTAAAGGAATGAGTATCAAATCAGAATAAAATCAACCACTACTACTGAACACATGATACAAAACTGAGCACATGACACTCGAGGTCTTATAAGAAAGTTAAGCTCAGGTGGACCATGCATAATACGATTAACCCGTAGTTCGACTTAAAAAAGCAGTTGAATTTCTCTTTAGAATCAATAACATATTTCAGGCGCCTTGGTAAGAAATAATGTCAGTGGTAGAATAAAGGAAATGTTCCTGCCCCTGCTTTTTTGGCACTTGTATTCTAAGAGTAAACTATAGTACAGTAATAGTGCAGAGATTTTTGGCGTACATGCGAAGTAAATCCAGGCAGCCACAACTATGGAGGAAAAAATACACTTTTTCTTTTCTTCTGAAGATAAGAGATTTGGCAGAAATAGAAATCCATTGTTAGATGTTAGTAGTGTCCCAATGAGAATAATCAGAAAGTCACTTTTGGGGTGTATCCTCAGCAGTTCCTCCCTCCCTCCCTCCCTCCCTCCCTC